CGGTATTGTATCAGATGGTGGGGCCAGAGCTTTTTGCAGGGTGAATAACAGATGCTCCATGAAGGGCGGTTATGGCTGTCATTGGGTGTGCTGGGCAATGTTGGGCCTCAAGCCTTAGGCATTGTGCATCAATTTGTTCTTCAATTATCTCTGGAATGATTTAAGCAGACTGGGTCAGGGAGACAGAGGTAGATCGTTCTATGGCTGAAACAGCACTGGATACCTCGCAGGTGCTTAGTAATTGCTGAATGAATGAGCGAAAAAAAGGAACAGGCCCCAGGCCTTGCCCTGAAGAAGCTCACAGAGCAGGACAAGGCCTGGAGTCATGCCAGGGTTTTGTGGTTGTCTTTAAAAATAAACAAAGCAAAGAACTACTTCCTACCAGCTGACCCTAAACCTCTCAGCTCACTGCCGGGACCTCTCAGCCCTGCGGGGGAGCCCGGCTGTGTGCCAGGCCTGGCCGTGCTGTCGCCGCTGTAAGCCAGCTGCCGAACTTCCTCTCCTCCTCTTTATCATGGAGGGGCCTCAGTCCCCTTCCCTCCCAGCGCAGTCCTGAGGAGCTCTGAGTGGTTGCACGTTCCCTGGCTGGGAGGTCCTCATGCCTCCTGGAAGCGGCCCTCACCTGAAGTCCTCCCTGGCCTCCCACCTCCCCTTTATTTGGGTACCAGAGTTTCGGGGAATTACTCTTAGTGAGTTTCTCTGTATGTTAGGAGGGAGGAGTAACTGACTATGCTGATCCATGATTGCGACAGGACGTTTTTCCTTCTTCTTCCCTCTCCCAGGCCTGATCTTTGGACCAGAAGGAGATTAAAAGATGCCCCCGAAGATGGCTGTGCCTGTCACTTCCATGGAGCTGCGGTCAAGGATTTTCTGAGCCTGATGGATTTACAGTGATACTCGGCTGCCTGGGGAATAACGCTGTTGAGGCTTGCACTGGAATTAACTCACACCCGGCGCACTTCAGGATGCTGAAAGTGGTTCTAAGGAAGGCCCTGGCTGGATGCCTCATGGGTTCTCACGGCCCGGGTGCCCAGCAGAACAGAGGACCGCGGCAGCCTGCGTGGGCTGAGAACTCCATCCTTGTCACGGACGGGAGTGTCTCTGCCAGCTCCCTGGGGGACTCCCTGTGAAATGTAAGTCCCTGTCTCCTCCTGGGAGCATCTCATGCACATTGCATCAGTGCTCATCTGGACTTTCGCCGAGGCTGCCCCTTCTGGTGGTGGAGGGTCCGCTGTCATGTGGCTGGTTGTCCAAGGGAGCTGGCATTGAAGGAGTTCACTCTGTGTGTCTCACATGTTGCTGGGTGCTTGGGGCACAGATAGAAATGGAAAGGTCCTTCCTGGGAGCTGCCACTCTTCCCTGTGCTGATGTGTGTCTTTGTACCTGTCACCCTGTGCTGATTTTCCTGGTTCATGTGTCTATCTTCGTCTTGCAGGCCAGGGCCTCTGCAGCGTGGCCCTGTGTCTCTGTAACACTGCACAGTGCCTGGCACCTAGTCTCTCCTGCTGCAGAATGGGTGAATTAAGACATGATGGTTAATGAATGAAGAGAGTGGAAATTCAGTGGGGCAGATATACATGGCGGGGGAAGTCTGTTGGCCCTGTGCTTAGAGCTGGGAACAAAGAAACCCCTTTGGTTGGTCTTGTGAGAGCTGTATGGTAGCAGGTGCCTGTGGAGCCAGATGGGTCTGGGTTTGAGTCTCTCACAGGTACATACCCTGTGACTCTGAGCATGTGAGGCCGGGTTCCTTTCCCTTCTCTATGCAGTAGTGGGGGTGAGTATTATCATACTTTGCAGGATTGGTGTTGAGGATCATGAAACATTGATGTGCTGAACATGTGGCAGACACTCAGCACATGGTAGGGGGCATTGTTGGTGGGGGAATGGCTTCCGGAGGTGGTAGGAGTTTCTTGGCCCTGGAAAGTGTTTCTGAGCACAGCTAGGGTAGGTGGCAGTGGTGTGCCCATTTTACAGTTGAGAACCTTGAGTCTCTGAGGGGCCATGTACCTTGGCTAAGGTTACTTATTCAGGAGAAGATGCAGCAGGAAGCTGAGAACTGCCTGGTATTTTACACCGAACCAGGCCACTTCAGCCGAAGGGGTAAGACTTTTCCTTCGAGGGCTTCAGAAGGGTGAGTGACGGCGCTTCCTGCTGTGAGATGCTTGTTAGCTCCTTAGAGCTGGGTGCCATCCTTGTCCTCCGGGAGAGACAGACTTTTGTGATGGAGTCCCGCTCTGTCCAGGAGGCAGGCGCTGTGCTGGGCCCTGGGGTTGAAAAGGGATCGGGATCGTGGGTCAGCCCTCGGAGGCTGCAGTCCAGAGGGAGCCAGGCCCTTGGGTGAGTGGGGCTGGCAGCACGTACTGTGGCCGTGCAGGGCAGGGAGTGGGCTGCTGCTGCAGGTCTGGGAGACTCCCAGGGCTGGGTGAGCAGAGCTGTCCTGGGACAGGAGGGGCCCGGTGGACGGAGACAAGGCATGGCGACGCTCCTCTCACTTCTGTCTGTCTTCCCAGCACCCCCACCCCCCCC